TTCATATATATATATATTCATATATATATATATTCATATATATGTATATATATGTATATCCATAACATTGGGAATTCTCCTGAAAACACAGCACACCTCACAACAAATCTCAAACCATTACAAAAGCTTCCTTTCCACAAAACAAAAATGGATATTGGTCGATCATTGTCTGAACTATATCTTCTAAATGTGGTCTCATCTGCTCGAATCGTCCCATGTCGCTGAATTCAATAGGTAATAACGTGGGCCACCAACAGATTGCGAGATTCTTGGAGTCCATGCTATTTAATTTGCAATTTTCAGAAACCCTAGAATACAGAAAGAGATAAAATAGCAATTTAGTTCAAGAAGCCACACATGGACAAATTTTGCACACATTAATATAACAGCCAATTATTTTATTCCTATTTTTTATTTTATTTATTAGTTTCAATTCAGGCAATTGTCCAATTAAAAATAGATCATATAGAAAAAATTGTCAATTAAACGTAAGTTCAATTTTGTTTTTTAATACTTTTGTACAACATTATAAACAAATATCAAGGGATGAAGCTAATAAATGATAAATTTGCTATTAAATAATCCAGCAAATCTTGAAAATCTTTCAATATTATGATGTTGTTTTTGTTAAACTTAAAAGATGCCGAAATTACAAATTATATGAAGCGGTGATTTCAATATAAACTGTAGTACCGCCATTGATCGAATAATAATATATACAAATAATTGCAACTATTCATTGTTACATTCAACACACACTTTAGAGACAACACAGTGCAAATTCTCAAACTTGAAAAGAACACAGAAGATATTAAGGAAACGCTCTATAGAGAAACCCACAACTTCTCTTTTGGAAACTTTTACAAAAATTAACTCTTATAAGTTCAGAAAACTGGGATGAGGTGTACAAAGCAACAAACAAATTCCAAATTGAACTTGTTCATAAACACATTACAAAATTATTTCAAGACTGTTTTCTCACAGTCACCGAATAAAATAAAAAGAAAAAAACCACAAATAATGGATAACAAAAGGACTCAAAACATCAAGTGAAAGGAAATGAAACACGCATGAAACAATCCTTCACTACAAATGTAGTTCTGACTTCATTGCTTACTACAAAACATAATTATTTCGAAGAAAGTAATTAAATAGGCCAAACTGTTAATGAATGATCAACGCATTGCCAAAGCACAAACCAAAGGCAATGTGGAACATTGTGAAAAACATTCTAAAAACAGAAACACTAAGAACATTGAACTTCACGGCAAAAATAATGTTCTGCATAACCCTCGAATTGTAGCAAACATTCAATAGACATTTTTCCGAAATTGGGGAATATTCATTTATCACAATTCTCTAAATAAAATAAATAGGCAGTCAAATATCTGAATCCAAACTTCATATATATCACAGAAATATCACCTGCAGAAATATTAAAAATCATAAATCAAATGAAGAGCAAATTCTCTACCAGACTGGAAAATATCCCTGACACCCTCACTAAACATATTGCAACATACATTATACAACTATTCACTCACATTTGTAACCACTCCTTACTGACAGGGATCTTCTTAAAAATTCTTAAAACAGCAAAAATTAAACTACTAATAAAAAAGGCACACTCACGATTTCATGAATTACAAACCAATATCATTACTATCTGGATTTTCAAAAGTTCTAGAAAGAGGCCAACATGGATTCAGAAACATGAATGCAGATCTGTAGACAGCTATTTTTGAGTTTTTAAATGACGAACTTGTTGCTCTAGATCACCAAGAAATCCCCATCATTTTGTTTCTTGATTTATTAAAAGCATTCAACATTACTGACCATCACATATTGTTATCAAAACTTGAAACTTTGGGAATTAGAGGCAATGCAACATCAATGGGTTAAATCTTAACTTTCTAATTGCAAATAGTCACAATCAAGCATGATAGAGATAAAAAGATTTTGGGCCATTTTTCCCAACCTAGAGTGATAAATTATGGGAGTGCCACAAGGAGCAATCCTACAGCTTATACTATTTATTTTATACATCAATGACATACCCTGAATACAAAAGAAACACAATTTGCAGATGGCACAAACATTATTAAAGCAAATTCCCAAGAAACTCTAGAAAAAGAGGCACAAACACTTCTTGAGGCACTAGTAAAATGGTTCCACAAAAATAAACTCATCATAAACACCAGTAGAACTGTCACCCTCAACTTAAGGCATCCACTCCCCAAACAAAAGCCAGCAGCACAATTAATCATAAAAACATGCCTGTAAAAATAGACCCCAAAACAACTTTCCTTGGATTGACTATTCAAGATGATCTACAATCTGAAATCACAGATTGAAATAACAAGCTTACCAAGTCATGTAATGCCATCTATATATTTAAGTCAAAATTCCAACTTAGAAACGCTATTGTAGCGTCATGCCACGCTCAAACCGCCGATGTTAAACAAAGGGCGGAGTGATGACGCACTGGGACTTTCCGTGGACGTAGCGGACCCACAGCGGCTTTGGGGAGGAGGCAATGGGGGCGGCGGGTAGAGTCAAAAGGGCCTATGAGGCGGGTAGAGCCTAAAGGCCAGGAGAACAATGCCTTCTTGTTCTAGCGGCGTCGACGACAGGTGAAGCGCGTGTCTATGCGTGTAGGTGCACTAAGGCGAGGGGGCGGCAATTCATTGTCGTGACTTACGAGACGCGTAGATGGTCTCAAAGTAGAGCGGCTTCATACAGGGAACATCGGTGGTATGTTGCGGTGTGGTAACCGTTCTTAAATTGAGACTACGGTTTAGATTGTTAATAAATCTACTTTTTACAAACCACTCTTGTCTGTGTTCGATTACACCCGTATGACGCCACACTATGAACTGTCTACTTTGCAAATATTAATTAACATCTAAAATATGGAATCATTTTTCTTCTAGAAAGTACACACTTTCTTCATCTAAAAAGTAATATTGAAATCAATGACAAACAGAAACATGAGTCCTATAAGCCTTTGTTCAAAAAATTACAAATCCTACTACTTTTCATGAACGAATATATGATGATGATGATGATAATAATAATAATAATAATAATAATTAAATAATAATAATAATAATAAAATGTCGTTACCAACATGTGGAAGCGAATTATATACTGTTCAGACAAACAAGGGCCATTTCAGCATGCCTCCAAAGGATCCAAGCGAAACTGAACAAAACCTGATCAAGATGCGGTCATTACCTTAGAAATACAATACTTGTTACAGTTAGATTAAATATTTTATACAGTAGAAAATTATCTCTAATTAATTAACATTTCAATATGATATTTAAGCGACTACTTATAATAATAATGACATAATAATAATACATCAAATAATAATAAATTACATTAATTATAATAATACATAATTATAATAATACAATAATAATACATATCAAATAGTTGCAACTACATTCAAATTTAACAAAAGTAGACCATTCTATATTAGTAACTTGAAATTAGAGCAAGTTTTACCCAGTTTTTTTCTTCTTCCCATTTTCACAGGATGTGTATGCAGTATCTTTTTTCTTTGCTCAGCTTAAACAGTTCACATAAACAGAAAGTCTAACGGAATAAGAAATTCTTATTTATTTATATTTCTTTAAGGGAAAATGTTTTATTTGAAAGATCTCTTTACAAATTGTAGAAAATGTAACAGGAATGCTTTCAATTACTTTTAAATGATGAATTGTGTTTATTGTCTTAATAATTCATGCCTAGCTTGTTTAAAGTGTAATGCCCTCTATTAGATAGTACTTTTTGATAAAGTGTAGTTCAATGGAACTGTGGTTATCCTTTTGACGAATTATTAGTACATCAGAATTTAAATAAAATGCTTTGTTTCCATGAGAATTTCTTCTGTGAAGACCACTAATTTCAAGTACTGTACATGCATGTAGAGGAAGAATCCTTATTTTATAAACAAGGGTTTGCCAAGACCTCCACTTATGCATTGCTGTCATGTTCGCATATTCTTGTTTGGATAATAAATTGTGAGTGCCTCAGGGCATTCCCCAGAATATTATTCCATATTTTAGGGTGGAGTGCCACCATTTGCAAAAACATTGTCGAAGTGTCGCAAGTTGGAGCATTGACCTAGAGTGTACAGCATAGCAAATTTTCCTGAATTCTTGTTAGATGTGAATGTTGCTAGTTTCCAATTAATTGTTGTTACCTTAAAACCAAAGGCATGTCATATGTATATAAGAAATAAATATTGGCCCAAGCATGTATCAAACCGGACTCCACAATGTATATTGAGGAACAGGAGTATATGAGAGATTTGTTTCTTTAGTGTTGAGGCAAAACTATTTGCTACGTTTAATAAATATGTTTTATCCATTGGCCTGCAATCTCGAATCCCTAATTTTAATTTTCTTAAAAGTATATGATGCTCCCAATGATGTCAAAGGCTTTTGACAAATCTAAAAAATGCCAATGGAATTTACTTCTGATTTAGGCAACGAGTATGTCATTAAAAAAGAAGATGCGCTTGTGTCTGTACATTACTCCTGAACCAATGTTGTGCATTTAAGACATATTTGCATTGAGAAAACGCGTTTGAGTCTATCATGAAAAGTCATTTCCAGAATTTTTGAAAATCCTGAAACAGAAATAGCGCCCTGCTAGTTCATGGTCATAAGTATGCCCTTTTTAAACAATGTTAATTTTGCTGTTGAATATATCTGGAAATATACCTGATTTTAGAGAGTAATTCAATGTGAAAGTGTGGCCACATATACACGGAAAGCACTGTGTTTAAATAAAGAAAAATCTGGAATTGCTCCATGCCTGCTGAGAATTTATTCTCCATTTGTCAACAATGCAATTTTAAAAATCAGAGGGTTTTCATATAAAAAATATGGAATTTACAACTGGTAAGATTAGTTTGTTTGGTGTTTTTATGTTTAGAGAGTGGTTAAGATACAAACTAATTGGAAAAGTGCTTCAGAATAATCTCCTATTGCTTGGGTCTTGTACAGTTATGTTTTTGTAGTGGACTCTATTTTTTTTTATTAATTAGTCTGCTAGTCTTTTAATAATGTCCCACATGCTTCTTGTTTATTACGTGCAATTGCCAATAGTACTTATCATTTATAATTTTTGCTTGTTTAATACTTTTTTTAGGATCGAATTATATGTTTTGTAATATGAAATGAAGTTTGAGTTACATTTGTCATTTGTTAGTATTTTATACATGAAATCATTAGTATTTTATATATGAAATACATAACTACAATACAAGACAAAAAAGAAAGATGCATGCCTC